TAAAAACCGGCACTGTGCTAACTGCGAACAAAATAATTGCCTTTTAGTGAACATAATTCTTTCTGGTGCAACCCAAAGAGAACCGAAACATTTCTGAACTATTACAGCTTAATGGACCGAAACATTTCTTATCTATTACAAATTTATCCACACTCCCATTTCCCTTTTCCACTTCGTTTTTCTTTCCTTCTTCATTTTTTCTAATTCATCATTTTCTCTTTATCCTTTAATTTCAGTGCAGTGTTTGGGAATGGTGAAGTCTGGAAACTGGGTGGTAGTGATGTTCAATTTCACAAATACCGCTCAATTGGCAACTAAAGTTGTAAGATATCGAAAAAAGGCGACGGGTAGAGCGAAGGGGAGTAGTATTGTTAAATGCGGATCAAAAAAAAAAAAAGTAAGGAATGGAAAAGACAGTGAAGTTATGGGCAACACTACAAGAATTTGGCTTGGCTCCAATGTGCAATGCGTATTCGCTTTTGCGTTTTTATGCGTTTTGTGCTGTGCAACAGCCGCATACAAGTCATATTGTCACGAGACTGTCTGTGTGTATGTGTTTGTGTGTGTGTGTGTCCGTGCGTGTGTGTGTGTGCCCGTGCGTGTGTGTGTCTGTGTGTGTGTTTGTGTGTGTGTGTGTCCGATACATCCTGGCATTTTTGAGTCCGAGAGCTGCTCAAATTGTAGCATCGATTTTTTTTTGTCTGGGTTATCGCGTTCAAGGCTGCTAAATTCCCCTCAATGTTAAGTTACAGAAAGAAACATAAAAACCTCTATAGGCTTCTACCCTCCTCCTCCCCGCCGCAAATTTCGCCTGTTTCCAATTCCTACCTCCAAGCCGGGGCCTTCATCCCGAAGTATGATAACTTACCATTACGATATGAGATGTTATCCAGACCGATTGCGATACATCCTCCGAGTGGTTCAGGTACTGGAATCAGCATACTTGTATCGTTTTCAAGCCGATCATGCACCCATAGTGGTGGATTAAGCTTTTCTTCCGGCACATTCAAGGTCAGTACTTTCAAATGAAATAAGTTGTTTTCGTGGTGAATGTATGCCAATGTTGGTTCATCTGAAACAGTCCAGAAATTTTCCTTTTTTTTTACGATTCTAGCAAAGTATGGCTGGCCATAGAGAGTTGGCAAAGTTTCGCAGTTTTTTTTTTGACAGAGCTGCATCGTTTTGCGGCCCAACTTTTGGCTATTCAAGCCATAAATTGCACTTGAAACATTCCTTTTCAAATACCTTGTACCCATCTTTTGCTTATGGGGAAAATAATTCATATTCTTTTTCAGTTTATACTATTTAAAATTACAAGTACTATTTTTTATACTACT